TAGTCTTTCATTATTTATTTTCTCTAATAATAATCAAATAATGTAAGGACTGGAAGAGATCAGAAATCTATTACTATGCAACTGAGAATGTGGTCCAGAGAGGGCAAAGGACTCATTCAAGGTCACATAGCAAGTTAATGATAGAAGTCAACAGGGAGCCCCATTTCCTAATGGTCAGCCCAGTAGCCTAGTGATCCCATTCCAATGTGCCCCCCAACAATGTGATCTTTTCAAAAGAAGAAACACCTTGACTCAACAGCCACATGAGGTCTTCATTTCTTCCGCAGGAGTTAGTGTGGTTTTGGCTGGCAAGACCACACCGTCTACCCTGGCTCTCCCTGAAGGCCCAGGGGAGCAGGATGAGTCGATAATGAGTATTGGAACTCATCGTCTTAGGAGTGCGAGAAAGCCATATGTCCCCCCAAGAAAAAGTCCTGTATTTATTTGGAGATCTTTAATTTGTATTTGATGTAGAACATTTAAAACATTTAGAACAACACGAGGCAGAAAGAAAAAAGGAAAATTCACCATATGGGCATGTGTTTTATTTTTCCTATGATCTTTTTTTCTGTAGTAGGGATTGAATTTTATTTATGTCCTTTTAGCATCTCTTCTGGGCCAGCACTGTGCAAGGTGCTGGGTGAACAAAATAGAAACCAGCCCTGTCCATGTGATACTTCGAATCTAGTAAGATTGAGGGCCAAGGAACAGTTCATGACCAAATTAATGATGATATCACATGTGGCTGGGCCCACAAAGGAAAAACTCAGGCTTGCCTGAGAGGATAGAATGGGGGATTGAACTTGGGCTTTCTCAGGGTCCTAGAAGAAAGACCTTAAAGCTTAAAACCTGGCTGGGGTGAAGGTGGGGGCTGCAGGGAAAAGCACAAACAGGCTGTATTCTGCCTCTCCCACTAACCTGTGTCAGAAACTTTCCCACAACTCATTATAAACTTTTTATAAACATTTTTTCGCAAATGTTTTTAATGTGCTATAATTTCTTAACCAATCACCCAATCTCTTCTAGACAATTCAGTCTTCTGTCATTCTTTTTGATTCCATCAAAGAGACAGTCTATTTGATAATGTGCTTTTTGACATTTCAAAATAGCTTTACTTTCCATACACTTTTTTTTTTGAGACAGAGTCTCATTTTGTCACCCTCAGTAGAGCGGTATGGCATCTCAGCTCACAGCAACCTCAAACTCTTGGGCTCAAGCAATTCTCTTGCCTCAGCCTCCCAAGTAGCTGGGACCACAGGTGCCCACCACAACGCCTTGCTAATTTTTAGAAACAGTGTCTCACTCTTGCTCAGGCTGGTCTTAAGCCCGTGAGCTCAGGCAATCTACCCACTTCGGCCTCCCCGCATAGGCTTATTTTTATAACTAGCTTCTATTGTAAGAAAGCAATGTAATTAGTCATGTTAGGTTGTCATATCGTCTAAATTTTTTGTGTGTCAACACACAGTAGAACCTCTTTAAGTTGACCACCCGAGGGACGGTACCAAACCAGTCAACATAATGGAGGTGGTCCACATAGGATACTAGGCCTACTGTACTGATGTGTGCATGTGGTGCGTGTCCAGCCTATGAAAATTAGGTCAACTTAAGGAGGTGGTCAGTGTAGGAAGGTGGTCATCTAGGGAGGTTCTACTGTATTAATTTTACATAAATGGAATCATGTCATATATGATTTTGAAAGTATAGACTTTTTTTCTTTCATTGCTTATTTCCTCTCTCCCGCTGGTATGATTCAGCACCAGGACCAGCTATACAATTTGCAGGGCTCAGTACAAAATGAAAATGCAGGGTCTTTTCTTCAGCAAATGATGAAGAATTTCAAGATGGCAACAGCAGAGCATTAAACCAAGTGTCGGGTCCCTGTAAGCACGGGGCCCTGCATACAGGCCACATGCCCACAGAGCTGGCCCTGCGTGGCACTGCGTCTTCCCCTGATGCCCACCCTTTTAATTTTTACATTTTGATCATCTGCTGTGTGTTCTTCCATACTTACCATACTTCATATAATCATACCAGTTCACAGAGGGGGGGTGGCCTTGTTTTATAAAAATTATATCACATTATACTTTCTTCCCTGCATCTTGCCTTTCTCACTCAACACAGTATGAAAATCTCCCAACCAAAGTGGGTCTATTTTATTTTTTATTAAAAAAAGATGCCATGGCATAAATAGACCATAATTTATTCAGCAGTTGCCTTGTGGATGGGCATTCACTCTGTTTCCACTTTTGTGCAGCTCAAAAACCTGCAAAGAACACTTTACATTCAAGCATCTTAACGAAGTGAAGCAAATTCCCAGGAAAGGGTAAAGGTTCTGCCTTACTTTGTTTTGTGTTGCTATCACAAACTCCCACAGACTGGATAATTTATAAAAGAAAGAGAGTTTTTTTTTCTTTTCTCTTTTTTTTTTTTTTTCATATTTTTGGAGGTCAGGAAGTCCAAGATCTAGGGGCAGCATCTGGCGAAGCCAGATGTAACAAATCCACTCCTACAACTAACCCACTCCCAGAATGGCATCTATCCATTCATGAAGGCAAAGCCCTCGGGACCAATTCCCTTTCAAAGGTCTCACCTCTCAGCAACCACTGTTGCCTTGGGGATTAAGTTTCTAACACATGAACTTTGGGGAACCCATTCAAACTACGGCAGTTTCCTTTTCAAATAAAGGTATTGTAGCAAAAAAAGTGAACCAATTTAAAAAAAGGTGTGAAGCACAGGACCAGACACAAGTAATAATGATGTCTGGGAAGCAGGGATCCTCCACTGGGCCCTTTGTGAAACCATGCCCTGATGGAAAAAGGGTTCAAGGTAAACCCTGCTTTGGTTCCCGCAGCACACAAATTAGAGACGCAAAAGCAAGGCTCCCTCTTTGGGATAGGAACTAGGAGAAGGTCTATAACACAAAAACAAAACCCTCCCGTATCTCATTTCAGGCAGCTCCTGCCCACTCTTTCATTCAATTAGTCAATCAACAAACACTGTGTTGGGGACCCTGGGAGACACAATGCTGATCCAGCCTTGGGCCATATGTGCCTTATGCATGATGAAGTGGTTTCCCAGACCCAAGCCTAGAGAATGCAAAACTGAGCAACCTTCCTGCCTACATGTACACATTCACAAGTCATACACACACAATCAACGAGCATAATCACACAGTCACACACACATACACACATACACACTGCAGCCCACACTCAACCCCTTGCCCCCACCCCATGTAGAAATATTGAAAACTGTACCAGAGCACTGACTGGTCCGTTGCTGTGGAAACCAGCATTCTGAAATCCTAACTTGTGTGCATCTGAATTCTTGTTCTGAATATCACATTAGTTGCAGAGTATGTGCTCTGAATTCTGAGTCATTTCCTCTTCAGGGGGTCAGGCTGGGCAGCCCACCAAGGAGTTAGTGAGGATGGGCAGTTAGAGGCCTGAATCCCTTCTGCCGGGGTGAGGGAGCAGCCCAGACTGGTGTCTGTGGAAGGGCTGTGCCTGCAGGCATGTGTGCTTACCTCTTATTCACACAAAATTCAATTTGGGTCAAGATCACTTCCATCTTCAAGATCCCCTGGGAACTCAGGGCCCCTAATATCCTACAATAGGGGAGAAACAGATGGAGGAGGCTCACTGCCATGGTCCAGACATCAACAGCCCCAACCTAAGTACAAGAGAAACCAGGAAACGCAGATGAGCTCGCTTTCAGGCACAGTGGTCCCTGCCTCAGAGCCTCCTCCCATTGTGCTTTGCAAACCAGAACACTGGGGCCCAGAGTGGAGAGGATTCCATGGAGACAGTGCAAATCTTGGTTCTGCTGTTTGCTAGCTGGGTAGCCTCTGGCAATGTACCACTCGGGGTCCCTACAGGAAACGGGTGGCACACTCAAAGTAGAGGTGTTGGAAGAGGGGTTCTTTACAAAAGGACCATTTACAAAGGATAACTCAGTAACCAGAAGCTAAGAGCAGCTGAGCTGTTACCACCCTGGGCCCAAAGAGACAAGACTGGGGAGTGGTCAGTGAGACCCAGGAGGAGACAGTCAAGGAGAGATAGCTATCTTGAAGGAGCAGTGACCTTTAGATAAGGGACCTCAAGGGGATGGAGCCGGGGGATAAGCACCACACCCTTACTCTCCTCCCTCCCTCCTTTCACTGCCATAACTCCCCATTCACCAAACCTAATGGGACCCAAAAGCCCTGAGAGAAGACTCTAATTAATCCAAAAAAGTCAACTAATGTAATATTCAGAGGGCAGAGTAGATAGTGCCTCTGGAGGGACAGATGGATACTATCTGGCATAGGTAGTTGATTTTTATTTGGGTCTCCTTTTGCTAATCTGTACAATGGGAATGCCAATACCTACCCCAATGTGTTGTTGAAAGTAAATGGAAAATTATGTGCAAAGACCTGGCATCTAAGAGGCCCTTACTGAATGTTAGTTTCTCCATTTCTAAAGGCACTTCACCTTCTAATGGTCCCCAGCCCAGGATGTACCAGTTATCCTAAATCTGGTAGGAAATTCTCAAACAAATCCTCTGAACAAAAATGTTTTTCCTAAATCACTCCCATTTTCAAGTTTCTTCTATATGTCAAGCATTTTATGGTTTGTCTCATTTCAGCCTCACAATACTTTCCTAAGTATTAGTCCCAATTTATTGGGACTGGCACATGGAAGTTAAGTCACCCATCCATGGGCACACAGCCAATAAGTTGGTCTGGCTTCAAAGCCCACTGTCATTCTTCCCTACTATACCCTGATTTCTGAGGATGTGTGTGCAATTGATGAAGTGGAGGATGCTGGAACTCCAAAGTTTGAGAATTTTCCCTACCCTGAAGGGAGGTGAACAAACCCAAGGTTAAGGACTATTTTGGTTTTCCAAAGGGGTCATAGAGCCACAACAGGCTCCAGAAAATGCCACTGCCCAGCAGGGCACCTCTGTGGCCCCATGGCTGAGCTTAGGTACTCACCACAGCTGCTGCTGGTTAATTTCAGGTCAACCCTCTGCAACCCCATCTGGCCAGGTCAACACCAGCAGTGCAGAGAATGAGCCCTTGGAGCCAGGTGAGCAAATAATCTTTCTGGGGGTCCAGGGTCAACTTTATGAACCAAGTGGTAGGTGGTCTCCCAGGTGTCAAGAAAGGAAAATAGACTTTTAGGGAGGCTCCCTGACTTCAGGCAACACTTCTCCTTTCTGATCCAGTGCCTAAAGTTCCACCATGAGCTTACCTGGAGATCTTAGAAGTACCACTTTTGAGAGGCCACTGATAAGTCACGTGCACAGGGGCGAGGCACTCGCAGAACACTTTAAGGGGATTTATGAGAACAAGCTGAAGAGCTCTGGTGGGGCTGTTGAGGTTTCATCAGATGAGCCCTTCACTTACAGACAGATGTTTGAGATATTTATTAAGGACCTATTCTGTGCCAGGCAGTGTGCTTGCACACGGGATGCAATCCTGGCAAAAATGGGCAGGTGCTTCCTGAAAGAGGCTCTGGGGAAGGGTGACCCACCATTAGCTGAAGCAGGCCATCTTCAACCGCCTGACCAACCCCGTGCCGGCATGGACCAGGGCTCCTGACCCAGAAGAGGAGGGTTTGTGGGGACCAGACCTCAGGTTCTCTGTTACCCCAGGCATAAGCCCTTCTAATAACCTCTAGAGTCGTCCCTGAGTGCCACCTTCTTCTGACTCTAAGGAGAGCCAGAGGGTCAGGCCTCAAAGGGGACGTGGGAATAAGCCAGCCCTGCCCCATTTTGCCGGCTGGAAGGCTGAGCAGATAACCAGAGCTGGGCAGGGGGTTATCCAAGGCCTCCTACAGAGTCAGTGGCAGAGCCTGGGCAATTGCCCCACCCACCCTCACCCCTGGGACCAGCAGAGGGAGAAACCATAGAGGTCTCAGCTCCCGTTTGACACTTCCAGGGGAGCAGCTCGGGGTCCGTCTGGTGAACGGGAGCAGCCGCTGCAGTGGGACGGTGGAAGTCCGGCTCGGGAAGTCCTGGGAGCCCGCGTGCGGGGCACTCTGGAATGGCCGCGCCGCCGAGGCCGTGTGCCAAGCGCTGGGGTGCGGCGGGGCGGAGGCGGCTGCCCAGCTCACTCCACCGACCCCCGAGTTTGGGCCTGCCGCGGGGAATGCCAGCGGGGTCCCGAACGTCACGCTGGCTGGGGTGCCCGCCGTCTTGTGCAGCGGCGTCGAGTGGAGGCTCTGCGACGTGGTGGAGCACGAGTGCAGTGGCGATAGGAAGCCGGCCTGGGTCACCTGTGCAGGTACCAGCGGAGCCTTGCGCCCTACCACCTGCCTGCCCCACTCCCCAGGCCTTCAGCAGCTGCTTCTCGCTCGAACCACCGGACTGGGCCTCTCCCTCCGCACCCACCTCCACCTCCACCCCCCAGTGCAAGCGCAGGGTGGTCCCCACGCCGGAGGAGTGCATGGGAGCGTTTCCAGACCCTCATTTCCTCCCATCTGGCCTCTAGGCTTCTCCCAACCCCATCCTGGGTTCTCAATGCCGACCCGGTCCCTAACCCTACTTAGAGCCATCCCGCCTCCTGTCTCGGTCTTTATCTCTGCCCCTTCCCCACATACAAAAATTTACCACGTTCTAGCGTCCCTGTGCCCTGTGGCCCTCCTGCCCCAGCCCTGCTCTTCAGGCCCCGCCCACCAGGTCTCTAATGCCTTCTAAAGCCTGCAGCCCCGCCTACCCCAACTGCAGCCTTGTGGAGATCCCCAATCCTGCCAGCCAGGCTGCAACCCACCTCATTGGGCCCACAGCCCGTCCACAACGCCCCCTGCCCGTCCTACTTGCTTCCCCCTCCTGCCTCCCCCGCCCCCCTACCCTGGTGCCCCAGCAGCCACGACCCCTCCTGCCCTCAGAGAATCGTGCACTGCGGGTGATGGACGGCGGCGGCCCCTGCGCTGGCCGGGTGGAGATGCTGGAGCGCGGCCAGTGGGGCTCGGTGTGCGATGACACGTGGGACCTAGAGGACGCCCACGTGGTGTGCCGGCAACTGGGCTGTGGCTGGGCAGTCCAGGCCCTGCCCGGCATGCACTTCACACCCGGCCGAGGGCCCATCCACCGGGACCAGGTGAACTGCTCCGGAGCCGAGGCTTACCTGTGGGACTGTCCGGGGCTGCCAGGATACCACTACTGTGGCCACAAGGAGGATGCAGGTGTGGTGTGCTCAGGTCAGTGGGCTGCGTCGCTGAACTGTGGCCAACCACCAACATTTGCCACAGGCCTTCTGGGCGCCAGGCCTGGAGTTGGGCGCAGAAGAGGCCCTCCCTACCCATGGGGGGTCACAGCCCAGGAGGTGAGATGAGACCCAGACAAACAGGATTCAGGGGAGCAAGTGGGAAGTGCCCCGGGAGGGGAAGTTAGGTGGACTTTAGAGGCAGCAGGCACTCTGGACCTGAGGATGGGCCTGTCTACCTCCTAGAGGAGGTGGCGTTAGAGGTGGGACTCATCCTGAGTGGGAGTTGGTCCTTTGGATTGGAGCAGTAGAGGGGATTGGATGCAGGGAGGCTGCTGGGCTGCCCAACTGAGACCAGGAGGTTCTGGGCCAGCCACTGCTTCTTTTTAATATGCACAAGAATGGGGACAGGGGATGTTAAAACAGATTCTGGATCAGTAACCTGGGGCACGGCTCAAGCTTCTGCATTTCTAGCAAGATTTCAGGCAGTGCTGACACTGCTGGTCCACAGACCACACTTTCAGTAGAGAGGATCCAGGGTACTGCAGCAAGGCTGGCCAGAGAAGATGCCGTGGATAAAAGGGGGACACAGATGGAGGAGGGAGGGACACACAAAGATGTGGAGACTAGTTGGGCTGCACTGGTGCCTGTACTACTGATGCTTGCATTGGTGGGTCTGGGCCGGCAGGGCCCAGAGGATCTTGACCTGACTCTGCCCCTTGCACCTCCCCGCAGAGCACCAGTCCTGGCGCCTGACTGGGGGCACTGACCCCTGTGAGGGGCAAGTGGAGGTATACTTCCGAGGGTTCTGGAACACGGTGTGTGACAGTGAGTGGTACACACAGGAGGCCAAAGTGCTCTGCCAGACCTTGGGCTGCGGAAATGTGGTCGAACAGCCCAAGGGGCGGCCCCACTCCTTGTCGGGCAAGATGTTCTACTCATGCAAAGGGGAGGAGCCCACCCTCTCCGACTGCTTCTGGCGGTTCAACAACTCCAACCTCTGTAGAGAGTCACATGCAGCCCGAGTCCTCTGCTCAGGTATCCCTGCCCCACCCGACCCGCACTAGCCCTGGCATTTGGACCAGAACTCCACTGAGTCCTAAGAACTTGCAGCCCAAGAACCACAACAGGAATTAGATCAGCAGTGGCAAATACAGCATAAGAAGGACTGCTGTCCTCATTGTGCCCAGGCAGACATTTGTACTTAATCAGGATCTCTTGTACAGACATGCAACTCAGCCCCCAAACTGTGAATCCAATATTGATTGAGGCATTATTATATGCTAAGTTATGGTCCCTGTTGACTGGAATTGTCTCAGAGTTGAAGCCAATTCACCATCCCAGGGCATCCCTAAGTAAAAATAATATTAGGAGACACTAATGATAAAAATAGCATCAGTGACAGCATCTGAACCCCTAATCATGTGCCAGGCATGGCCAAGCACTCAATAGCTCTTAGCCTCAGCCTCCCAAGTAGCTAGGACTATAGGCACATGCCACCACACTCAGCTATTTTTTCTATTTTTTGTGGAGATGGAGTCTCATGCTTGCTCTGGCTGGTCTCAAACTCTTGAGCTCAAGCAATCCTCCCACCTTGGCCTCCCAGAGTCCTGAGATTACAGACATGAGCCATCACAGAGCTAGTCACACCATTATTGTTTTCTGTACAGTAAGGGGGAAAATGTTATGCAGATAAACTCTTGATACTCCATCAGACATCATCTGATTGAGGCCATCATCCTGATTTTAGAGGCATTAGCATGTGAGAAAATGAGGGTTAGACCTAAGCAAACACTGTATTAGCATCCGTATTTTGTTCAGACACCTAGGTATGGATCTCAGCCCCATGTGCTACCTGGGAGACTTCAGACAGTCCCTTAACTTCCATATGTGGGTGCTGACACTAGATACCTCATGGGGTGGCTGGGAAACCAGATAATACCTGCCAAGGAACTGTGAGAGCCATTCCTGTGAGCACACGTGTCAAATGGCCAAGCGGGTTATGATGGTTGTCATAATGGTCGTAATGACAGCTCTCCATCTCCTGAGGTGAATAAGAAGAATAAAGTGAAGACTGAATTGAAAGGGGTTTGGGGTCTATAGCAGAAAGAAGAGCCCCTGCTCTAACCAAAGAACCCTCCCAGCATTTAATCTATGAGCTCCTCCCTATTATAGGGGGTGGGAAAGGCAAGGTTCCTTAACTACATGCCCCAGCTGGAGCCTGGCCCCAGTTGCAGGTCACTTGTCTGTCTTGTTCAGTTTCTAGCACAAGGCTTGGTACACAGTAGGTGCTCAGTAATGTGCATGGTGTGATTGGGTGGTGCTTTCTGACAGGTTCCCGGAGCTTGCACAATCTGTCCACTCCTGAAGTCCCAGCAAGTGTTCAGCCAGCCACTGTAGGTGAGTGTTGCTGGGCAGCGTACTCCTGGTTTCTTAGAAGTGCTGCAGAGCTCGGGGAAGGTGTTTGTGGTTTGTTCCCCACCTTCCACCTCTAGCCAATGGACTTGCCTTCCAGGGGCCCTGTGGGCACTTTGTGAGCCTCTCTGCTAGGTCAGCCCACAGGTCACTGAGTCCTCCCCATCTTGGGCGAGCACCTGTAGGATAGGAGAGAACTGGAGAGAGAGCCAGGCTGGTCTGAGATCACCTGGAACTGGAGGTGGGGGCTGACGGTAACAGTGTGTTCATGATGTTCCAGGCCCAGAGCCTAGCACAGCCATTGTTCTCCAGCTCCTTAATCCTCTCGGCAGCCAAATGATAGAGGTCTCATTATAACTTATATCAAGGAAGGAGCTGAGGCTCTAAGACTCAAGTGATAGCCAGCCAAATGCCAGTAGAAATTGCATTCAAGACTCTCAACTCTGGACCCACTCTTGGCCCATCTATCCACTGTGTGTAGTCTGGCAAGCATCAGAACAGACTCCTGGGACTCACACCCTAGTGTGTGTCTTGCTAGCTGTGCAACACTGGGCCATTCTGAACCTCTTTGAGCCTCAGATCCCTAGACTATAAAAGGGGGAATGACAACTATATTACCTTTTCCCAAGCATCTGGTAAGGCTGCTGTGAATTAATTTTTACAATGTGCTTAGACAGAGCCTAGTGCACAGTAAGAACTGCCTGAACATCTGATGTTCTGATTATTTAGTCCAGGCATAAAGCCCTTTGTAACCCCATTAATATCTGTAGGGACTGGCGCAGACTCACTCCCCCTGCCTCCTGGCTCCTCTCAGCTTCTCTCAGACATCCCAGAGCTGGGAGGACAGGGGCTGGGATAGAGTGAAGGGCCATTAGGTCCTGCCAGGGGCTTTGGCACAGAGAGGGGTTGAGATGCTGGAATTGCACAGGCTGGAGGGTAAGCTCCTGCGAGGCACCTTGTACACGTCAGGGAGCCACGCAGCCCCAGAAAAGCAAAGAGTGGCCTGGCCTCCATGGATCACAGCCCAGCCATTGGTCCACAAGCCCCTCCCAAGGCCAAAGGTCCTCTAGGCCCACATGCATCAGCCTCCCTGGCCTCCACACCCAGAGTGGCCCTTTTACCAATTCTTGCTGCTTGATCCAGCTTCCCCTCCTGGTCCAAACTGCCTTCTTTGCACACAGAAAAGGAAGGGGAGAAAACGAGGACAGGAAAAGGGAGAGCTCTTCCCCTTCTCTCCACCCTTCATCTAACTCCACTCCTAGGACTTACACAGAAAGCAGGAGGCGGGGCCATGTAGTCAGACATGGCTCTGGGCACGCTCCTCACTGCCGCTCGCCCCTCTATCCTTTCTTGTGCTTTGCTTTTTTTTTTTTTTAAGCAGGGGTGAGGTTGAGAGGGAGGGGAAGGCAAGAAGTCACACCGGAGCAGGCAATACAGGGTTGGGAGGTCCCGAATCACAGACTTCACTCCTGCCCTCATGGAGGGCATGTCTGGGAGAAAGGGTGGTCCCAGGCACAGAAAATACCTGTGGTCTGTTCACTGCCAAAGGTAACTCAGAGCCACCTTCTCTGAGAAACCAGCTTTGATACCTCCACATAGAGAACAAAGTGACTTTTATAGGGTCCATGCTTCCCTGTACAAACATCATCACCACAGGCCCTCCTCATACTGGATTGGGTCTACTTGGCAGTCTCCCCACTGGACAGCTCCCCTCAAAACCTGTGATACTGTTGTCATATTTTGTATCTGAAAGGCTAAGTGCCTGGCACACAGTGGGCACTCAATAATTATCAAACAAAGACTTAGTACTGAAGAGCTAGCAGAAAGAGATCCCTGTGGGTGGCTGGCTGGGGGGGAAGGGGTGGTTTGGGGAATAATTCAATTAGTCAATTACTCATTCATTCAGTATGCATTTATTGAGTACCAACTATATACGAAAAACCTAAAAGCAGATGGGAAAATTTAAAAAAAAGAAGGAAGGAGGAAGAAAAGGGAAGTGGATCAGCTGTAGGAAGGATGAAACGGCAAGAAGAATGGACAAAGAGAAGTCTATGTCCATTCTTCTTTCTCCCTGAATTGGAGTTCTTGTTTCTAGAACCTTCTGTGACAGTGAAAACAGAGGCCATGGAATCTCAAGAGTTAATGCTCCTCATCCTCTGCATTGTTCTGGGAATTCTCCTCCTTGGTTCACTCATCTCCATAGCCTTCATCCTCTTGAAAATGAAAGGAAAATATGGTAAGTGCATAGTTCTGGGAGCCAGGGCCATCCCAGGGTGGCGTGGGCCTTGGCAGAAGCCCAGCAAGCATGGTGTGATCTAGCAATGGCCCCAGCCTTAGGGAGCATCTCCTGATGAGAAGGATTTTCCCAGCATGTCAAACAGAAATGGACTCACTAGTGTGGGTCTCATGCGAGGACCAAACTGTGTGTGTGTGTGTGTTCATGTTTGTGTGTGTTGGGAGATTGGGGGGTGAGGAAGGAGGTCTCTTGATGAGAACAGAAGTAGGTAGACGGGGAGAGGGAAAAAAAAATGACTTGTAGAATTTCTGCTTTCCCTCCCTCAGCCATCCCCACTATGGTGAACCACCAGCACCCACCCACCACCATCCCAGCAGTCATCAATAGCTATCAAGTGGTCCCCATCACCATCCCCAAAGAAGAAGGTAGGATGTCCCCCATCCGGGGTGTGGGGAGCTGGGGAGGACAGGAAGGGTACTGCTTAGGTCAAGGTAGTGTGCAGCTGAGATAAGACCTGTGCCAGCCCACTTGTGGCTGTGGGACCTTGAGCAGGTCAGGTGTCTCTCTGGACCTTAATGGGCAGATGACCTTCTAGTTCTGTCATCCTAGGACTCTAGACCTTTGAGTTCTGGACAAATATAGGCCAACAGTGTTTTGGATCTTGGTTCTCAGAGGAAAGTCACACTCAAATTGGCTAATATGCTTGTGATATCACGCCCCTCTCTGTGGCCTGCCCTGCAGAGTTCCTTCAAGACTCCCCTGGAACATACTTCATATTTTCTGGGTAAAGAAAAATTAAGCCAGTCATCCATCCTTTATGAAATATGGATTTCTGCCTCTGGAAAGTCTTGCAAAGGAGATTGAGTTTCATCACATTGTGTTATGAATATATTCAATCACCTTTATTGGAAAGAGTTCAATGACATGAGAAATGGTACAAAACTCAGTCAAGTATTATAGATATTCTTTGCACACAGTCTGCTTATGTCTGAGAAGAGAATATGACTGCAGCATCTAGCACCAAGCTAAGCCCGGGGCAACCACCCACTGTATAGAGGTTTGGAGCCAGATTGCCTGCTTCTCTGGGCCAGGCAAGAACCTCTCTGAGGCTCAGTTTTCTCACCTATGAAATGAAAATAATCATGTGCCCACTTCACAAAGTTATGGATTAAATGAGCTCATTATAAATGTTAGAACATTTACAACTGTTACTCTGTGACTAGCAGAGTAAGTGCTAAATAAATAAATGTTTAGCTCCTGATATTGAAAATGAGTGAGAGGATCTTGGGAAACCCAGGCTGAATGGTCCATACCAGGCGGGCTTCCTGGTGCTCCCCTTCACTGTCTCCCGTCCTCACTGTTCACATTCTTTGTCTCCTCTCTCTGTGTCCTTCCCCACCACTTTGCCATGCCCCTGCTCTGTTCTCTCCCCAGTTCCCAACCTGCCCATCCAGGTCCGGGCCCCAGCCCCTGCGGACTCGGACTCCAGCTCAGACACAGACTATGAGCACTATGACTTCAGCACCCAGCCTCCTGTGGCCCTGACCACCTTCTACAGTGAGTGCCTGGGCCAGGCTCCTAATGGACCACCTGCTCGAATCAGGGGGAGAGCCCTGCTGGCTAGGGAACCTTCAGGTTTAGAACCAGGCTGTGGCCCCCTATGTGGTGTAGGCAGGATTCCCCTTGTTCCCTGCCGCACTGACTATCAAGGGCCTTACATTGAAGTTTCCAAAGAGCTTTGTGACCCTGGAGACATCTCGCTGCTGTCTTGAGTCATCTCTACTCTGACCTCTCTCCCTTCCATTTTTGTCTCTAACCATATAGGGCCTTAAGATGGTAACCAGGCCCTCAACATTCACCTAAAGGTGGCTGTGTCTGTGTGAGACATGAAGGACCACAGGCGAGAGGGCTTCTGGCACATCATGCCTCTCCATGTCCTGTCCCACCCTGCTTACCCCACCAGCCTTCCCTTTCCCTGCCTCCGCTGTCATGCAACTTGCACCTCTTGGCTGGTTGGTCTAGCTCTTCTCTCTTTCTGCTTGGGATAAGAAGAGGAAATAGTGCCTAAGATAGGCCCAAGCAATGCTGGGACATTGGAATAGACCCTAAAGCCCCACACCTATTTTGGAATCACTTGGGAGCTTATCAAAAATTCCTGAGCCCTATCTTGCACCTTTCCGTGTAAGTCAGATTGAAAGTTTGGCTGTGTGTGATAGAGACCCCCAAGTGACGGCATCCTGAGGAGTTGGTGAGGGCCCAGTTTCCTTCTTTCTTATTGCTGTGCAGACCCTAAGTTGTCTTCGTTCACATGGTCCAGAATGGCTTGCTGCCATGTCCACATTCCAGGCAGCTGAAAGGGGAAAGATGGGACACTAGAGTGGCCTCTTTATTCCCACTCACTTTCTACCACCTACTAGCTGCAAGAGGGGCAGGGGAAAAAGTGTCTATCTGGGGCAGCTGTGTAAAGGTTAGGGATCCCCAGGTATTGGGGAACAGCTAGTTGTCTCTGCCCCACCTGCTGACTCAGGGACTCTGGGGTGGGACACATGATGCCGCTTTTGCTGGTCCATGTGCTGAAGTTTGAGAGCCACAGGGATGTGTCCTTAGAACCTGAGCTTCTGAGGCCAGGCATGTAAGAAGCAAGACTGAGAGTCCCAAAATCCTTCAATATTGAGACTGAAAGCGGCACAAGATCCAAAAAAGCCGACTCCAAGATCCCTGACCTTCAATTTTTTAAGACTGTGAGTGTCTCTCTGATTCTGAACCTTGAAAGTACCACAGAGAATGACACAGCGATTCCAGGCCATCCAGCTTCTGCTCTTGCAAGGGACAAATGTCTACCCTTTTCCTGCCCAAAGCTGCCAGGGCCAGAGGAGATAACCCAGAATCCTGACATCACCCCTTAAGGAACAGGAGGGCCCTTGGGGCTGGGGCTGTAGGGTCCGAGGGCACTAGAGTTTCTGGCCCCAGGCTGGTTTCAGAGTAAACACTAAGTCTCTCTGAGACTGAGGTTAAGGGTCTGCTTGGATTAGGATGTGAGCCTGGAATCTGATGAGAAATCCTGAGCCCCCTCTCTACCTCTGGGGTTGTCCTCCCACCCCACCTGTTCAGCCTCAGGGGCACCTCCCCAGCCCCGAAGAACCCCAGCCCCTCCTCCAGACCCCTGGGACAGAGAGGTTGAGCCTTCACCCCTCCCCGCTGCCACCTGTGCTTGCAGACTCACAGCGGCACCGGGTCACAGATGAGGAGGCCCACCAGAGCAGGTTCCAGATGCCCCCCCTGGAGGAAGGTGAGTCTGGCCAGGGAGGGACAGGAAGGGGGTGAGTAGGATGACAGCCCAGCCTTTAGACAGTAGCTCAGCCCACGCTGAGGCCTACCAGCAGCAACCTCCCCCAGTGGGAGCTTCCTGACTCTAACGATTCCTGTAGGCAGTAGGCTCTTCCTCAAGTCTGATTAGAGGTCCTTTTGCTGTTTCTTTCCTCACCATTTCCCTTTCCTGGCCCAGGACTTGAAGAGTTGCACGTTTCCCACGTCCCACCTGCCAACCCCGGATACTGCGTTGTAGATCCTCCCTCCCTGGACCCTCAAGGTCACGCAAGGAGCAACAGTGGGTCCAGCACATCTTCCGGGGAGAATTACTGCAATAACGCCGGCAACCAGCTCCCTCCATGGAATCCCCAGGTGTTTTCTTTGCAGAGGAATTCCTTTCTGGAACAGCCCCCAAACCTGGAGCTGGCTGGCTCCCGGACAACTTTTTCAGGTAAGCAAGGTGGCCCTCAACCCCATCCTGGAGCCAGCCCGGCCAGAGGAAGTGCAAGTCTGGGATCCCTGAGCCAAGCTGAGGTCAGGGTTCTAGGGGTAGCTCCATAGCCACTCGCTGTGTGACCTTGGAAAAATCTCCTCCCTCTCTGGGCCTTCACTTCTCCTTTTTCAAGCTGAGAACTTGGCTCTGCTGAACTATGCAGGCCTCCCAGTTCTGGCAGCTGCCAAAGTGGTTGTCTTCTGGCAGAGGGTGATTGGCTCTGGGGGTTTTCAGCAGGGCCATTGGCTGACGACAGCTCCAGCACCTCATCCGGATCCGGGGAGTGGTACCAGAACTTCCAGCCGCCGCCTCCCCAAACCCCTTCAGTGGAGCAATTTGGGTGTCCAGGTGCCAGTCGCTGGGGACTGTGGGGGGATGGTAGAGACGGACAGGGGAGTGAATGAGTGGAGTATCTGTTGGATGCATCAGCCCAAGGGGGAAAAGGAGAAAGGGAAAGTTTAAAAAAAATCAAAACAAGAATATTAAGAAGTGAGGAAGAAAGATAAGGGTGGGATAGAGAAATATTCCAAGAGGTTGCCTTGATAGGAAGTGATGTCCTTGTGGTGGAGGCATTCAAACAAAAGCAGCCCATTGGCTCCGTGGGAGAGCTTGTATTAGTAGACAGGCTCCTCATTTTATGCACTGTGCCATCATGGGGACACAGCCCTGAGCCAGAGAGATAAGACTCTGCCCTCAGGGCTGACATTCTAGCCCTGGAGATGGCTGTGAATAAGATGATACATGCTTCACACAGCCTCCCGGGGGTGGGGAGGTGGACCAGACCCGCTCAGCTCTGTGTCATGGGACACCAGGGCAATGACTGGGCCTCCCACTTATCTGAGCCTCCTGGCCCACAGGGTCCCCCAGTCCTCAGCCTCACTCCACTGATACTGATGACTATGATGACATTGGAGCAGCCTAGACTGGATCCAGCTGAGGCCCCTGGGGTGGCTTCCCCTGTCCCCCATTTCCTGCTGCACCTATTGGCCTGCTCTGCTCCCCCCAGAGTGCCCCCATGGCACTGAGAGACCCCCTAGAGAGATGGAAGAAACTCCACACCTGTGCCCCTCAGTCTTCTTCCATTAGACCGAACCTGCTGGTACAGCCCTACCCGGCCCTAATGAGCACCCCAGGTGCTTGGAGGACAGTGCTCCTCCAAGTGGCGTGAGTCCTCTGTCTCTGCAATGGACAAGAAGAGTCTGCCAGGAGCAAGAGAACTGGACCGGACTCCTGAGGCCACTTCTGACCCTCAGGGGTCTTGTGGTTTGATTCCTCAAGTCTCTGACAGCTCAGGACCAGAGGTGCTGGGAGGGACAAAAACAGGTCCCCACCATGGTGTTGCCATGAGAGGTCCCTTGTGCTAGGAGCTGTGGGGCTGTTGTAACTCTGCTAGGTGGTGCTGGGGGTAGGGCAGCTCTGGGCAGAGCATACGGCCTTCCTGGGTGCAGTCAGCTCACAGCAAACAGGGTGAGTGTGTTCCCCCCACAAAGGGGCTGAGGCCCAAGGCCAGTCCTGCCCCAGAGACTCTTGGAGCCCTTCAGGAGTGCACACTTGTTCTGCGGTAACTTTTCCTGGACAGTGGATCCTTATTCTGAATTTCCTATGGTTTACAAAGAGGGCCCCAACCCCACCCTCCCACAGGCCCCAGGGACAGAGGCCCAGTCCTTGTGGGGACAGGAGTGCAGATATGTCTGCCAGGAGGGGGCCCGAAGGATGCCCCAAGCCTTCATGCACCTTCTTGAATAGAGTCAGACGCTTCCAGGATGCATACATGAGCGTGTGGTGTTGCCCCCAGAGCCATCACAGTGTCTGGGGCCCAGGCCAGGCTCTGTGTCCTGTGTTGAGTATTCCAAGATTAAACTGAATTGCTGAGTGAAACTTGGGTGTGGAGTAGCATGTTCTTAAACTTCATAGAACCCAGGCCGTGTGCGCACGTGTGTGTGTGTGTGTGTGTGAGAGAGAGAGAGAGAGAGAGAGAAAGAGAGAGAGGAGAGATCCATTTGATTCCCTCAGTAGCGAATGAGACAAGGAATTGAGCTCAGACCCTTTATTTGGGAAGTGATCCGGGGGATCACTGGTAAGAAAATAAGGAAGAGAGCCCAGGGAGGAAGACGGTACAGGGTATGTCCGTGAACAGGTTGCTGTTGTGGGTTACCGGGGCTCAGTCCTGCTGGAGACCCTTTGAGACACGCCTTAGAATTATCCCACCAAAGGGCCAGGGCCCTGGGATCTTGATGCACCAACCTCTGCCTATCATTAGTTCAGGGCATTGACCCCCGCCCCCAGCTCGCCAAGCTGCACAGGAGTGAGCGCTGAGCACACTCAGGTGTCCAGAGAAGACGCAGGCAGGCAGAAGGTCAGAGGCACAGTCTGTAAGGGGTCGTCTTCCCCAGGAATGGCCCAGAAAAGAGTGCCACCAGCACCTGCTCCTGTAGCGTGTGCACACGTGTGCAGGGTGGGGGATTGGTGGGGGCGGCCCTGCCCATTGAGGTGGAAGTGTTACCATGAATTGGAAAACCTTCTATGGCTGGAGATGCAGGGACAAGACAGGGGCTGTCCTCTGCAAGGAGATGACTCAGGCAGAGCCTGTGAGAATTTGGCAGCTACTGCCTCCCTGCTCTGCACAGCCCAGCCCAGCTCAGCCTCCAAAAGCTTTTGAGGCAGGTTCATCCCAGGGGGTTTTCTGCTCAGAACTACCTGGCAGAGAGATTGCCCAGGAGGAGCTGGAGAGGAGACCGGTAGAGATGGAGGCACGGGACATAGAGGAATCTGGGTGTTTCCTCCAGTCCTCTGCCGGCTTGGAGGTTGTGATTTTTAGCCACAATGACCAGGGCCCAGCTCTGCTTTGGGGTGAGGACTGGGGCTTCAGTTCCCTCGGAGCCCTCCAGGGAGTGGGGGGGTGATAGCTGCCACCCTCCTGGGCGGGCCCATTTTCCGTTCACCTGTCCCAGAGGTGGAGAGAAAGCCGGTGCTCCCCAGGGCAACCGTCACAGGATGTGGTTGCCACTGCACTGCTCCCCGCCTTGGGCCCTCTGAGTCCTCCCAGGGCTGGCAGGGGATTCCTAGGGGAGGAGCCACTGCTGGGGGCTGGACTCCTGGGCGGGGGTTGTGACAGCCTTTCTAGCTGGACAGTCTGGGTTCAACCCAGTTGTGTGGCCTCAGACAAGCCACTCAACCTCTCTGAGTCTGTCTGCTGCAAGTTTGTCTACAAGTGCTCATGGCAGTGGTAAATAGCTCATAGGTGGGGTGAGGGTTGGAGGCTCGGTAATAAATGCTCCTTCTCATTGGTAGATTAGTTACTACAAGTGAGAGGCCTCCTTAAAAGGAGAAAAGTGAGAGGAGAAAACAGCAATTCCAAAGGCCTAAGTGCATAGATGCTGGGGTGTGGGGACACTGAGAACATCTTGTCCCATTCTCATCTTATAGATGAGGTTGCTGGAGTCTGGGGTGAGAAAAGACTCTCCCAAGGTCACCAAAAGTTAGTAATGGAGTCACATTCAGTCCTACGCCACTGCAACCCCATTCAGACAGAGATGGTGACACCTCTTCAATACCCCCCTGCCCCTGTCCCCACCACCACACAGTTCAGGAGAAATTGGGAAACTCTGAGACACCTCTCCTTTGCCCCTCCCAGCCCTGGGCAGCCTGAAGGCACAGTATCACACACAGCAGGGGGACTGATGTCCAGAAGGGAGGTGATGGTCACAGGCCCGCGGAGGATGATGGGGCTGTTCACACAGAGGCCCTAACCGCCACCTTGGGGCCTCCCTGCAACACGGACCTGTTCCTTGCTGAGCTGAGATGTGTCAGGCCCATGCTGGGACTGGGAAGGCTGAGATAAATGACAGGCTCTGGGCTAGAGCACCAGCTTGGCAGGGACATCTGGAGAGCTGAAGTTTTAATGTGACTGAAGGATCTGGGAGAGGAAAGACAAAGACGTTAACTGGATTTGGCAGCTGAGTCCTGATTTCAGAAAATCGGTATTGGGGGAGCAGCTGATGGTTTTGGAAGTGCATGGAGAGGACAATGCACAGGGGCAGGGAGTGGCTGCTCTGGGTTATAAAGGCTGTGTAGGAGTTAGGCACAGAAACAGGGAGAGAAGGGCATTCCAAGCCAACAGAAGGCATGAGCAAAGACAGAGCAAGAAGCTGGTTGGCTCTCCAGGTAAAGGGACGTCCACCTTGATGAGAAGTGAGACGGAAGACAGGCAATTCTCACACCATCCCTATTTCATGGGTGAGAAAATTGAGGCCCAGGGAGGTTAAGTAAAATACCCAAGGACACACAGCTAAACAATGACAATGCTGAGATTTAAATATGGCCATCTAGCTTCACAGTCTGAGGGAGAACCATGGCTCCTCTAGTGGAAACTCATTCCTATTTCTGTGTCACTGGAGCCACACTGCAGGACACAACCAGAGCCCAAGCCTAGCTCTGGGATCTGGAGACACCAGTCTGTCTGTCCACTGCCAGCACAGGCACCTGCTGCACTCAGGGATGGAGAATTGTTCACTGCCTGGATGCCCATATACAGCCAGGCTCTGGGGGCATAGAATGGAATAAAACTGCTTCCTCGTTGGGTGTTTACAGTCTTCAGAGGAGACAGACAGAGACAGTAACTGGTTCATCGCTATGGGTTGGTGGTGGTGGTGATAATGGGTGATGCCCGGCAGCTGTTATTTCATTTAATCTTCATAAGGGGCCTCTGAGAAGGTATTATCTTCCCTAATTTATAAATAAGTATACTGAGGCCCAGACAGGTTAAGCGACTAGCCAGAAACCACACAGCTTGGCATGTAGCACAACTTTTGTACCTAACTCCAAAGCCCCAACGTGAAACCACCACACTGCACAGTGAGGGGGCATCGTGGGCACATTTAACTGATGCGAACTGAAGTTTATCTGTTCAGCAGCAAAACAGAAAGACAAGGAGCAGCTGAGCCCACCTCTTCCCTCAGTGAACAAACGCCCAGAAGGAGCAAGGCGGCAGCTGGGGGCCCTCTTTTCCCTCAGATCCTGAGAGCCGTTCAGCTCATGGGAATCTTGCCACACTAGAGGGTATTTTAGTTATTAAGGATTCATTTTTCATACATGGCAGGCCTGAAATATAGGCTTACCACTTCATCTGGTTGCTGTAATGCTTCAGGGAAAAACATCTGGGTTGGAGCCAGAGCAAGACAGACTCAAATACAGTCACCTTCCTAAGGGAGCATTGGTTTTCCTTCCCTTCCTCCTCTTTCCTTCTTTCCTCTCTCTCCCTTCCCTCTCACTCCCTCTCTCCTTCCTTCCCTCCTTCCTTCTTTCTGAGTAGGAAGTACTTTGACATGTTTCAAAACGCAAACACCATAAATTCGTGCCCTGCCACCACCCACACTTACTATTGTTTCTCTGATATAAGCACAGACAAATAAGGATGTCTCTTGCCACCCTCCCCTTATACAAAAATGGTGTTCTGGCTATACTCTTAGGATCCTTGCCTCTTTTCGCTTCTTGGGGTATCCCAGCAAACTTTCCTAAGCGATCTTCAAGAGTAATGTGGAGCATATTTGAGTTTTGTCCCACGTGCTGCCCAAGCCAAGGCAAGAGCCACCAGCTCTGCTAGGGTTTGTTGGGGAAAGTGGGACAAAAGAGAGGACAATTGATATGGCCATTGAAGGATGTGTAGGAGTTTGCTGGTTGGAGAAGAAAGTAAAGGATGTTCTCAGTGGCAACTTGTATAAGTATGGTGCATGTTGCCCGAAGCCTGGGGGTGAGTGGGGTTATATAGGTGGGAAAGACCATCGGGGAACATCTCAGAGGATCTTGTATGGCTTGCCTGGGAGTTTTGGTCATCGTGCTAGAGGTACTGGGGAGTCATGAGCAGTTTCTAAGGCAGGGAAGTGATCTGATGAGACAGATGCTCTAGAAAGGTCCCTGAAGTGGAGGTGGGTTTGAGGGGTCAGGACTGTGAGATGGAAAAGAAGGCACATGTTGGAGAGGGATCGGAATTTGGAGAGTGATCACAGACATAGGAGATGATTTTCCAATGCTGAAGCTTCCAGCCACAATGATAAGATGATAACAGGGACGTTCACACTGATAGTTTCCATTCCGAGTACTTAACGGTGTGCGGGGCACCGCTCTGAGCACATCACAGGCATTGCTTCATCAATGCTCACCACTGCCCCAAGAGGAACTAGCATCATCCCCTTCTCACGGTTGAGGAAACTGAGGTTCGGGAAGGTTCAGAGTTTTCCCAGGGCTGTCAGCTTGTCATGGTGTGGCTGGACCCCAGCTGCCACTGCACGTGGTCTCCTCCTCACACTGTGGTGGTAAGATCCATGCCAAAGGCTCATGTCTGTGCCTGCTGATCTGAATGTTCCGTGGGAACCAGTGTGGTCCTTCAGGACCCTCAACTAATCTGTGTCCTCCAGAAGTCTGAGTGAGCCCATGGGGACCAGGCCAGAAAGAGGCTCTGGAAGGGGCCACGTGAGCATGGCTCCAAGGCTCCAAGGCCACACCCAGGGAGCACAGGCATGGCCTCCCGTTCTCTGGCAGGGAATTGTCTGCTGGTCCCCTGCCTTCTCCTCTGGAAACCTCACCTCTGAGGGACACCTGCCAAGCCTCTGCTCGACTCCTACTTCTCCCTATCGCTCCATCTGTGGTTTCCACTTCCACTGCTCAAGAAGACCCTCTTGGCACTTCTGGTGAATGGACAGAGGTGGCTAGAGTCCCGTGTGGCTGCTCAGTGTGGACGCTTCTCGGCATGGTCCCAGAGACCGTTCTGGCTTCAAGAGGCTGGGATGGAGGCTCCATAGTGGGGAGGAGCAGGGGAGCCCCCATCAAGGAAGGGATGAGTTCAAAGTAGCCTCAGTGGAAAGTTCATCTCCCACCACATC